TGCTAGATACAAGTAAGTGCAGGAGTGAACCTATTAGGCCAGACTTGTGGGAAAGGATTTGTGCTATGCCCTAGCTAGCTGGTGTTATTAGGACTCAGCCCAGCTGAAAAAGGGGTATGTAGATACCTGGATGCTCTGTGGCTGAAGGAACAGCACTCCCTAGAGGGAGCCTGCTCCTGACAGAAGTTTTAAACACTCTTTAGTATATTGATGGGTTTTTTTAAATTATTGTATAGTTAATTGCTTTTAAATCTCTAATTTATTGTGGTTTTGGATTCCTTACTTTAATATTGTGAGCCATCTTGGTTCCCCTCATCAGAGAAAGGTGGCCTACAAATGATAGGAAATAAAATAAAAATAAATGTATAAACATTTTGTTCCAATTTTTTTTTAGATCTTCACCATGGATGACCTGGCTCATGCAAATGCTCATTTTGCTCTCGATCTCTTCCAAAAGTTTGCTGAAGCCAACCCACAAGGCAACATCTTCTTTTCTCCATTTAGTGTATCTTCTGCAATTGGTATGGTCTTCTTAGGGGCCAAGGGTGACACAGCCACACAACTCTCCAAGGTCGGTCACCATTTCTTATCATTATATGAGGCAGCTTTTGTGTTGGTTTCTGGATATTTTGTTAAAGATATTCTGTTCTTCATCTTCTGAAACACTTACATATTTAAATTACTCAACTAAGCAGGGGACATTTAGATTTAGATTTAATTGCAACCAATGTTAGCAATGTAGCGGTTCATAGCCCTCTCTTTCATGGAACTGGTTATACTGGTATTGTGTCCTGATGATCATCCCTTACTTAGTGAAGCTAATTGCCCTTCCCTTTGTGGCTTAGACTTTGTACAGCATTGTATCAGGTATGCCTGTCATCATGTTAAGTCAACTGCCCAACCCATGTGAATCTGTCAGAAGTAGAAATAGGAGAGTTAAGGAGAAAAGAGCATACTGTGCTAAAAATATAGTGAATAAATTCTTTACACGCCCCTTCCAATTTTGCAAGACAAACACAACACATGGCCAAGTTGCAGGGCTGACTGTGCAGTTTGTCATCTGGAAAGGTTCCCCTTGACATTTTCAGTCCAGTCGTGTCCGACTTTAGGGGCGGTGCTCATCCCGTTTTTCAAGCCGTAGAGCCAGCGCCTGTTCGAAGACAGTTTCCCGTTGTCACGTGGCCAGCGTGACTAGGGAACGCCGTTTTACCTTCCCACCAAGATGGTACTTATTTATCTACTCGCATTTACATGCTTTCGAACTGCTAGGTTGGCGAGAAGCTGGGACAAAGCGATGGGAGCTTACTCCGTCACGTGGATTCGATCTTACGACTGCTGGTCTACTGACCCTGCAGCACAGGCTTCTGCGGTTTAGCCCACAGCGCCACCCCGTCCCTTTGTCATCTGAATACATGTCATCTGAATACATGCCCCCAAAAGTTGTTTTTGCATCAGGCAGGCTTCATGTGCTGGACCAGCAGCCGCTTCTGTGATCATGACTGCACAACAGTTGAAACAGTTCTTAGTCTTAACATAGTCCCTTCCCATTAACTTAACAGCCCTGCATTTCACAGCTTAAGCACTAAGGGTTGTGAATCATTCTTAGTAGTTTGGATGCCACTTTGCTTTATTATAAATTGAAATGGAACTGCTATAAAAGTCCAGGGTTTAAGCCTCCAGAACCCCTGTGCTCACTGTCTAGTACAGGAGAACAAGCATTTGCTTCTTGTGTCATAATTGAGGGTTGCCAAAATTTTATCCTTTGTGTTCTCAATGGCTTTCACTGATGGTCAGATGCCACATGGGTGTTTTGTTGTGATGGGGGGATGATCTGTCACTGTGATTGATGGGCATTGTAGGTTATTCCTTTGTGTGCAGTGATCGTTGGTTCCTGTGGCTGGATAGAGTTCATTGATCTTTTTGTAGGCTATATTTTTCAGTGCTGGGAGCCAGGCTTTGTTGAGCTTTAGACTTTCTTTTTTTTCTGTTGAAGCTCTGCTGGTGTTTGTGGATTTCAAGGGCTTCCTTGTGCAGTCTGACATAACGATTGTTGATGTTTTCCAGTACTCCTGTATCATGAAATGGGATATCATGTTCAGTTTGTTTCAGTTTGTGTGCAGGCTGTACTGCCAATTTTTCCGGTTGCTGTAGTCCGCAGTGTCTTTCATGCTCTTTGATTCTGGTCTGGATGCTATGTTTTGTGGTCTCAATATATACCTGGCCACTCCTGCAGTGGCGAGGGGATCTCTTTTGTACTTTGCTGACCATAACATTTGTTGTATCTTTGTGGTGGGCTTGAATACTGTTTGTAGGTTGTATTTTTTCAAAAGTTTCCCCATGTGGTTCATGACCCCTTCAATGTATGGCAGAAATACTTTATTTGTGGGTGGCTGTTTTTCTTCTTCAGTTTGGTGGTGTTTTCTTAGTTTGACAGCTCTTTTGATTTCCTTCTTGGAATAGCCATTTGCCTGTAGGGACCAATTCAGATGATTGTGTTCGGTACTGAGAAACTGAGCTTCACAGTTCCAATTTGCACAGTCTACCAGCATTTTGATTATGCCTCTTTTTGTCATGGGGGGTGGTACCGGCCTGTGTGGGAGCCATGGTGAAGAAAAACTAGAATAATTTCTAAAACATCTTATTTGTACACACCCAAATAAACAATTCACCATGGAAAAAATAGAGGGCAAACTGCCTTTCTTAGCTGTCATGGTCATATGCAAATCAGACCTCCTATTGGGACACAAGCAAACCCACCCACACAAACCCAAGATCCCCGTCGCTTGTCCCAGCTCCTGCCAACCTAGCAGTTCGAAAGCATGCAAATGCAAGTAGATAAATAGGGACCACCTTGGTGGGAAGGTAACAGCGTTCCGTGACTAAGTCGCACTGGCCATGTGACCACGGAAGATTTTCTTAGGACAAACGCTGGCTCTATGGCTTGGAAACGGGGATGAGCACCGCCCCCTAGAGTCGAACACGACTGGACAAAAATTGTCAAGGGGAACCTTTACCTTTACCTTATGGAAAAAATAGAGGGCAAACTGCCTTTCTTAGCTGTCATGGTCATATGCAAATCAGACCTCCTTTTGGGACACAAGGTCTACAGCAAACCCACCCACACAAACCCAAGATCCCCAAGATTGAGAGGAAAATAACCCCTTCAACAGACAAGCGAGAACCAAGCAAGCAAGAATACCTGCTAATGATAATGATGGGGGAAGTCATAGACCAGAGAGAGAAGCTGAAGTGTGTTGGAGAACAGATTACAGATATGAGTGACCGAAAAGGAATGAGTGACAGAAAACCAGAGATGACAGGACAGAAAGGGGTGGGGCCAGGGAGTCAGTTGGAAAAAGTGGGAAAGAAAGAAGAAGGGGGAAGAGATATAGTCAGAGGAAAGGGGAGAGTTGGTGAAAGCAGGTAAAGCCAAATCTCATAAGGTTGGTAAGATCCTTCCCGTGGGATGGGAATGGATCTGATTAGAAAATCCGTGGACAAGGGGAGCGACTCATAGTGCCCAGAGAAGAGACTGAGAGGAGATGGAGAGAGATAGTACTAGTGAAGCCTTCTTATTGGGGTGAGAAGGTGGCTTAAGAGTGGGCCAGAAAGTTCAGGGAGTATTGAGAGAGTGAAGATGGCAGCAATCTTCAGAAGCAATGCCAGCCAAGACCCAAAAGCTTGGAAATAGTTGGGAGTGGGATTTCAGGGGTCCATGCCAAGGGCATCTGGAAGAAACAGAGTGCCCTTGCTGTTGATTTCACAAGATGCCACATTGATGTGGAGAAGGGTTTTGAACTGTTGGACTTTAATATTTCAGATCCATTTGAGAAACCAGAAGTTAACCCCTTCCTCACACCATTGTGTGAAGAAGAGAAGTTATGTATTCCTGTCACATTTTCTAGATGCACCTATCATAAATCCTGTTGGTACAATTCATGGTTAAGTGTCGTGTGTTGCCGGCTTAGACACTGAAGCAAAAGGAAGAAACCCTTCTCAAGATAACAAACCCTCACACATATGAGCACCTAAATGTGGGCAGATAGGGTATGAATTTAATCGGTAAATATAGGCCCTTCTTTCCTTTCTTATGGCCTGCTGCACAAAACACTTACAACATTATAGATGTGGGATGGGAATGGATCTGATTAGAAAATCCGTGGACAAGGGGAGCGACTCATAGTGCCCAGAGAAGAGACTGAGAGGAGATGGAGAGAGATAGTACTAGTGAAGCCTTCTTATTGGGGTGAGAAGGTGGCTTAAGAGTGGGCCAGAAAGATCAGGGAGTATTGAGAGACTTAATATCCCGCCTATCTAGCCAACTCAGGACCACTCTAGGCGGCTAACATCAGGTAATAAAAGTATACATACATACAACAGCGTAAATAATAAAAACTTTACAAAAATAGAAACCAAGTGCAGCGGAAAAGAAAAGAAACATCAGGAATTGTCTGGAGACATCCATGTCTTCAATTGCTTCTTAAAGATACCCAGTGAGGGAGCTTCTTATCATCTCCTTTCTTCAGTAATCATCATAGTATTAATCAATAATCTTTTTTATCCATGCAGACCTTTCACTTTGATGCCGTCAAAGACCTTCATTCCAGATTCCAGGCCCTCAATACTAGAATTAACCAGAGCGATGCACCCTATATACTGAAGCTTGCCAACAGACTGTATGGAGAAAAGACTTACACATTTTTGCAGGTGTGTTGAATGAGAGGGCCTCCACATTCTGAAAACAAACCTGGTCATGGGGCTTATGTGTGTGTCTCTGTGTTTCTTCACCTGATATGTGACTGCCCTAGAATATGATGTTTTCCTGTGTTCTGTGAAGATCCAGGATAGAATTCATTTTGGACTTACATGAATCTGTAATAATGGTGAATGTAAATATGTTATTGATCTGCTACAGAAATGTATGAGAACTGATCATTTCAAGAAATCATCTGTACCTAGATTGATACAATTAAATCTACCAGGCAGAATAAATTGTGTAATTAAAAATGGAATGGAGAGCTGGCTGATAGTAATTTCATAGCCTATTGATACCTGTCCTCCACAATTCCTTAAGGATTTCTTGGCTGGAACACAGAAACTATATGGAGCCGAGTTATCCAAAGTGGATTTCTTAAATGCTTCAGACGGTGCACGAAAAGAGATTAACCAGTGGGTTGAGAAGCAAACAGAAGGTGAGTGATTCTTGAAAAATGCCTCTCAGATTTTTCATTAGGGGGCACTATCAGTAGCCTTTTGCTCTGTCATCAGGACTGATTCAGTTTTCAGTTTTTTGTCCATGTGTTTTAATGTCTATAGCATGGAAAATTAGAAACAAATGAAAATAAAAACCCAGTAAAATATGTTTGCTTACATCACGTAAGAGGTTTGTTTTACTGTGAGACTATGTCTGGGTGTGTCATAGCAGATCAGGACAGAATGATAGCCAATTAGCTATAACTAAAGCTGCAATCTGATTTGCAGTTACTTGAGAGTGACCTTTGAATGAAGACAGGTTTCTTGTTCTGAAAAGATAAGTAAGTAAAATGCCTGCCAGTGCCAGGCTAGCTGCTGTTGGAAAGTGGTTTTTGAACTAAATTTGATCCATTGAAGTAATGCTTTTCTCCCTCTTATCATACACGAAGGGGGAATTTGGGTGCTGGGTTGTGATGGCTAGGGCAGCTAAGGTGAAGTCACTGAGAATCCATGGCTCAGTGGAACCCAAGTTTGTGCTGAAATAAAATTAAACCTTTGGGGGAGAAAATATGAAGATACAAAACTCTGTGACACAAAACATCATAGTGAAGATAAAATGTGCTCAATGGCCATGAGACACTTGTTGTGTTTTGGCAGGAGGTGGGGTGGGGAAATGCCCCACAGTATTTTTCCACACTTCAGCGTTCTACTGCAGACAATAATGGCTAACCGTGCCTGGCAGCGTCTTAGCAAAAGTGAAAGCTCAAAGGCCTTCATTCCAGTGAGAGCTGGAGGTCCAAAAAATTGGACCTGGAAGTTAAAGCCGATGGTTCCAGTCTGGGTCTTTATGCTCCATATCTGTTTGCCACAAGACAGTGGTTGAGGCTGCATCGTCCCCACCAAGACTGAAATCAGAACAGTATCAGAGAAGTCCTACACTTCTAGTCATGCTACGTGTGTCTAACTCTTAACAAAGATATTCCGCTCTGTAATGTTTCCCTTCCAGGTAAAATCCTTGAGTTGTTATCTGAAGGCTCAGTTAATGCACTGACCAAACTAGTTCTGGTGAATGCTATTTACTTCAAAGGCAGCTGGGAAAAGAAATTTCAAGAAGAGAAGACAAAGGATATGCCTTTTAGACTCAATAAGGTAACTGTATTCAATCTTCATTTCATGATTGGCTTCATAGAGGAGATAGATTTGAAAACATGGATGATGGTGAAGGTGCCAAACCATGAGAGCAATTGAGCTTCTAGATGCACTTTTGAAATGTTACATGCATATGTGTCAGGTAGAAACCGGATGGACCACGCAGGGTCCACTCCACTGCACTTCTGTGAAGGTAAATATTTTGTATTATATTAAACAAAGATTCCAGCTTTCAAAGTACTTTATTGGATTTAGTGACTTCGAATCTCCCCTGATTTCCAGAGAGTGAGAAAAAAATATATATCATGTTTTAGGATTTGGCATGGATGACTGCATCTAGATGTACTATATTACCATTCCTTCATCATCATCCCCGTCTGTATAGGCAACAGGGGCACGGACGCCTCTCCCCAGAAATCTTCCCACTCGGGTCACTCCCCGGATTCCAGTATTTCCCAGGTCCTCTGACCTCTTTTCATCTCCCACGCTCACCATTGACTCATTTCCCTTCTCTATTTCATCCTTTCTTTCTCCTCTCTTAGCCTCTTCCTCCACTTTCTTTATTCTGCTTCTCCCCAGTATGACGGTCTAGGGGGAATCACTGCTCTTCTCCTATGGTTGGCTTCCTTCCTGGTACTTTCGATTTCTCCCACTTCTGGGTCCAAGGATCTTATAACCAGATCGATTTCCAACCTGGAGGTAATGCATCTTCCTTCCTCATCGCTTCTCCTTCCCCTGTTTCTATCTCTTCCCTCTCTTTCCTTTCCCACCTTTTCTAACGATTCACAGGACATGTGTTTAAGTGTTGGTACAACTTTGGAAAGCCCTGCTGGGCAACGGTAATAACGAACCATTTTGCAGAGCAAATTCACTGTGAATAAACTGCTCCCTCGCCAGTTGTTGTGATCTGTTTCTGCAAGCTGCTCATCACTGTCACCTTTTTATAACAACATTCCAGAAGGAGAAAAAGACTGTGAAAATGATGTTCATGATGGAGAAGCTGCCGTTTGGATATATCTCGGAGTGGAAGTGCCGTGTGCTGGAACTTCCTTACAAGGGAAAAGAGCTGAGCATGATCGTCCTGCTGCCTGATGAAATTGAGGATGACTCCACTGGCCTGGAACAGGTGATTCCTCTTGTCCTCTCCATTATGTTCCAATATTGAAAACAAACAAACACCTCCAGGTACAAAACATGTGGTCCTGTATGTGGAACAGGAAGATTGTGCAGGAGTATTCCTGAACAACGCATGGGCCAGGCCAGCATTGCAACCTGTGCTGTGCAAAAATGCTGTTGGTCCGGAGCAGAGAGGTGGAGTGTTGGAAGAGGGGAGGGCCAAGCAACAGCTCAGTGTTTGTCCCTAGAGAATGTTCTAGTTCAGTGGGTCCCAACCTTGGGTAGCCCAAGTGTTCTTGGGCTGCGGTTCCTGGAAATCACCAGCACAGCTGGTGGTGAAGGCTTCTTGGCGCTGCAGTTGAAGAGTGCCTGGGTTGCCCAAGGTTGGGAACCACTACTCTATCTGCACCTGCTTTGTAGTCAGTTCGTGAATTATCCAACGTCTGTACAAATCAATTCAGTTGAAAGAAAATAACCCCCCCTCCCCGGGTTTAGTTGACATCCTCACAAAAACTGGGGGGAGGAAGGGATTTTCCCAGCAATCGTATACTGAACTCTTGTGGCTTAACACAATAAATTACACCAGAGTAGGCCCACTAAAACCTTGGGAATTTGGTGAGTCAACTGTGTTGTAAGTTCTACTGATTCATAAGGGTCAACTCTAGTTGCAGTTTACTATGCTAAAGTAAGTTGTGACTGGAGAGGGCCTGTTTATTTAATTTATATACCACCCCATTAGTGCAGAGCACTATTCTTGGTGATTTACAGCATAATAAAAAAACATTGCAAGAATAATACGTGTATAAATAAACAGTGAGAAAAAAATAAAACAAGAGGAAGACACTATTTGAATAAGAGGAACTTTCAAAGTAGTTTTAATTCATTAAATCCCCTCTAGTTTAACAGGCCTCCAGCTGCCCACATTTTTAGACTCTGTTTTCGGGGCAAGGACTATAGGGGTTGTTGGAATGAGCCCCTGTCTCTCCAAATTTACTACTATACCACTGTTTAGAAATGAGATGGGAATTACGAAGTGGTCTATTAGACCACTAAAACTAGTCACAGACAACTGTTAGCTTTCAGGCCATATGGGCCTTCATCAGGGTAAGCACTGCTTGACTATGGGCAATGCATTTAAAAAAACCCCAAGACTTCCAAAAATTCTGGCTAGGTGTTGATGCTCATTTCTATATGAGGGCAGCACAGGCAATCCAGCAGTGTTGGTTTGAAATTCCACCTCTGGCACCGTTGACTGAATTGTCCCAAACTTGCCAGAGAAAAGGCTGCAGCCCCACCACCTCAATGGCTTCTGTTGAGGTGGTGTGGTGCTTGAACACAATCCGGAGGCAAGGAGGCGGTGGTACCTCCCTGCCGTTGAAGATCACTGGGAGAAGTGAGGATCAGACCATGGTTCTTTTCTAAGTGCCACAATATTATCAGTTTCAGCAGGCAGAGAGTCCTCACAGTCTTGAGCAAGAGATGTCTCTTCCACTCCTGCTAGATATTAAGTGTAGAAAACAGCAGCCTCACAGTCTTGAGCAAGAGATGTCTCTTCGACTCCTGCTAGATATTGTAGAAAACAGCAGGTCCTGGTTTTCCAGAAAGAGTCAATGGGGAATATTGTGTCAAGTGCGAATGAGTTAACCGTGTCCTTCTTTGTAAAATGCAGCTGGAGAAGCAGATCACCGTAGAAAAGCTCCAAGAGTGGACACAGCCAGGAAAAATGCATTCCCACTATGAGGTCCATGTGCATCTGCCTAAATTTAAGCTGGAAGAAAGCTATGAGCTTAAGTCCCATTTAGCAGCTCTGGGTGTGTTGGATGTCTTTGACGGTGGCAAGGCCGATTTGTCGGGAATGTCAGGAGCCCGGGACCTCCACTTGTCCAAAGTTGTTCACAAGTCATTCATCGAGGTGAATGAGGAGGGTACAGAAGCAGCAGCAGCAACCGCCGGTTTGGTTATGCTATGCAGCATGCCCATGGAAGAGCATTTCAACGTTGACCACCCTTTCCTCTTCTTCATCCGTCACAATCCAACCAGAAGTATACTTTTCTTTGGCCGGTTTGCTTCTCCATGAAAGGCAAAATAAATTGCATGATCACGTATTTGTTCACAGACGTGGTCCCATCAAGCCTAGCTTAGCTTCTTTCTTTGTCTGTCCTGAGGGAGGAACGGGGCAAGATTCGTTTTTGGGACTGAATGTTTTTCACATGCTTGTAACAATCCCCTGATTTCCTTTCTTCTTGAACTGTCCTCTTTTGTTGATCTGTTGAGAATTCTACTTTATCACATTTTAACACATTTGATTTGTAATGGAATAAATAGTCTCTTCCTTGCAGAGATGCTCAGATTTCTCCTAGTATAATAAAGGTGAAGAAATTCTTGCATAGTAATGTGCTTGAAATAACTGAGCACATGTTTTCATGTAGCTGATCTTCCTATATTAATTCCTGGATTATGGGCAAGCTAGAGTCAAGAAATCTAAGAAGAGAGGAATGTTTTTTCTTGATTCCTGGTTTTCTTGAAATCAAGAAAAGGTATCAGAACCTTTTTTGTGTTTTTTATTTTTTAGTAGTTGTTGGTTTTTTTTTGCCAGAAAAGGTAGTTGTTTCCTCATGAGAATGGAAAACATTTTATCTTCCAAATGTAAGACAGCACTCTTAGGATGAATTGTGGGAGAAGTCCCTAGCAAGAGGGCTCCTTGATGTGAAAAAAAAATGCATAAGCAACACTGGACCACCAGGGGGCAATAACGTTAAAGTTGGTCAAAAATATTAATAAGAGGAAAGGCAATTCACTGGAGCTGCCTATCTTGACCAAATATTTGCTCTACCAGACAAATGCTTATGGGGGAAAAATAGCAGATATAGATAGCAGTTTTTAAAAATTTGTTGTATAAACACAACCAATCTTCATTTTTTTTTCTTGTTTGAGTAAACATCTGCTAAGGTAGAGTGAAGGGCTGTTAACTCTGCATTTGAATGCCACCTAATTTCATTGCCATCGGTGGAAATGGCATCCAGTCAAAGGGGAAGGTTCCCACATTCCATCCTTTCTGGCTTTTTTGAACAATTTTTGTTGCTTAGGCATGCAAAACTCAAATCTAATCTCGGTGTGTGTTATTTTTCTACAGATTAATGGGGAGCCAGCATATTTCCTTGTTTATGGTGGAGGAGGTGGTGGTGCTGGGAAGGAATGGTGATAATTCTTTCGTGCTGTAAATGTTCGTTCTTCTTCGTGGCCTCTGTGAATACACACATGTGGGTTAAACAGCGCCTGCGCTGGATTTCTCGGAATCTTCTAGAGCTTTTTTCTGAAAAAGTAACAAAGTTTAGAACGCCCTGATCAAGCATGCTCCATTTGGTTCCTGATTTTAACAACTGTTTCAGCAGTTCCCACACTTTTCAGCATAATTTCCTCCTCCCCATTTTTGATTTCTGAGAATCCCTTATGCAGCTCCATTTATCAAAACGTTTAAGTTACAATTTTTTAAAATGAACATAAAAACGTGGTAAAATTATTTACATTAATTTTGTGGCATGAAATTGGAAAAAAAAGTTTATATATATGTAAACTTTTTTTTCAATTTCATGCCACAAAATTAATGTAAATAATTTTACCACGTTTTTATGTATGTATGTACTTCATTGCAAGAAACTGACCCACATCAGAGCGGTGTATGTGATCTGTTTTGTGCTCCTCTCCTACTGCAGTTTGGAGAGCATCATCGCTATTTCTGACACAGATACTATAGCTCTAAACAAGGATTGTGGTGCTGTTGCATCCAAAGCACTCCCCAAGCGTTTTCAGCCAAGAAGCTGCCTTGAACCTTCTGGGTGGAGATGATGACTGAAGAGAGGACAGTGAATTCCCTTTCTGTAGATGATTTATTAGGGTTGCTTAACACCCTGCACCAATTCCCACCCTTTTAATAGCTGACAACTAGGAATTCAGCTGCTGCTTGTATTTTTGTATCTTTGCCTCTTTATTTTGCCTTGTCAGTCAGCAAGTAAGGTCTAAAAGCCCAAAAAAGGAAATGGGAAAGTGTTGACCATCTTCTTAACTTTGCCCCTCCTTTCCCTTTACCTCAATACTTTCAATTGGAGCTCAGTATTCCATCCCCATGGACTGCATTCCGTCCACAAGCCACCCAAAGGGGGCCATCTAAAAGGCACTGTAACATACCATGTGCACCTGAGTACAATCCCAAATTTCCACCGCTCCTTGGCCAGGCAGTGACTGATCTGCTGGGGACGGCCCCCACACACTGGAAATGATGCTTTTTGTTCCCTGTCTTGGGTAAACAGAAGACTGTTTGGATCTGCCCCTACCAGTAAAGGTAAGGGAGTATGGCCACATCATCTTCCAGTCGGTGACCATGAACCATCAAGAGAAGGGCTAATTGAGCTCAGTGGTGTAGTGGAGTATAGACATTGTAGCAGTGAATACAACATCATATGCCTGTCAAGACTGCAAGTGTTGCATGGGTAAGATACTGAAACAGTACTGAAATAATTGACCTGTTCTATGTGAAACGTTCAAATGTGTTAACATGACCAGTAGATAGTGTTTGCTGGTGCAGCAAATTGTTGGTCCCATAACTTACTCCTTCAGTAATTTACACTGACAACATCTTATCTATTCTAAACCTGATAAATCAAAGGTCTAAATAAAAAGCAATTATCTGCCATAGTAGTAACTTGCCAGCCTTGTAATTAAGAGGAGTTTTATTTTGCTACCCTGGTAAAAGCAATAGAGATTTCCATTAAAAAAATATTCTCACTGTTTATAGAGGACTGTGACTTACCAAATGAAATTGTTGACTGTCGGTGGAAAAGATACAGTAATTACTGTTAAAAGAATATACGGAGCAACTATAAAAGATACTTTAGGCAAGGAGCAAAGAATGAGAGGAGAACATAGGGGAAGGGAAAGAGGGTTTTTTTGCAACATTATAGTAGTTTGCTCTTTTTTCTGGTGACCACACAACACAATCACTAGAGCAGACCAATTTGCCCCAGAGCAGCCCAACTCACACCTTTTTGATCCCATGTCAGAAGCTTCAGTTTTTTTTTGGTGCGGGTTGGTGTGCTCTAGTTTAGTCCATTTGCAGTGCATGTGATCACTGTGAATGGATTAAAATCAAGTCTTGCAGGCTCCTTCTAGTTTCAATTTCTGGTATTGTGAAGTGACTTAATAAGCAAGGTACTATAGGGTATCAGGAAATTGAGCACTTCCCTGCTGTTCTGCAGAGAGACAGGGTTAGTAAAAATTGTTTGACTCTGCTAGACCATTGTTGTTGCACTGAATCACTTAAATTAATTTTTAAAAACTTCTTTTTCTTTGCATTTGCATGGAGTGCAGATCAAAACCACAGCTTCGGGCAGTTTCTCAATTGGCATTATACACAATTGCCTTGGAGGAAAAAAAGGAAAAGAATATGTTTGGCCTCTCCTGTAACTGAAGTGAGACCATTTTTTTCGGAGAAGTTGAAACTTCCAAGGGTGTTAAAAGAGGATTTTGTGACTAGATTTTGGTTGCAATTAAAGGAAGGGAATGAGGAGAGATTAATTAAGGCAATGGCTACTTCAGGGGTGTTCTTGTTAAGATTCTTTTTACCACTTTTTTCAAAGTCTTTGCTACAGTGCCTTTATATGCATAGCATAGATGCTCCCTCATGCAGAGCCCAACTTTCAGAGAGGTTTCTGTTTCCTGGAAGGAGAAAAGGGTCAGATTTCCAGAAGGCATGGATTCATCAAACTAAAAACAAAACAAAAAACACACCTTATTAAGATTACTTGCATACAAATGCATACAGAACAAGGTGTACTTAATTCACAAGGGAGACTAACAAATTTGAACCAAAGCTGATGTTTTTGCTCAGACTTCTGAACTCAATAAGATGAAAGCAAAAGAGACGGCTCCTACTGTGGCTTTTCTCCTACCACAGTTGTTTTGTTTTCAATTCAGAGTGAGGCTGTCTGATGCCAACAAACACTGTGTGAATGTGCTGTGCTGTGTTGAGGTCCCAGTGCAGCCCATGGCCAGGCCTAACACTGTGCTTTGAAAACAGGGGTACCCTGGGATTAATCCGACCCCATTATCTCTGAAAGATGCCAGTGGGATTGTCAACACTGAGGATGCAGGCTCCATGGTCACCACGGTTGGTGCAAAAGCAGGGAAGGATACTATCTTGGGAAGTCATGGTCCACAGAATCTTCTGGAAGCCTTGAGACAGATGAAGCGCAAGGTGAGATTGGACCAGAGGAATTGCAGGGGTTGGAAAGGATGAGAGAGGCCACGAGGGTATAAAAACAGGGATGAGGATGCAAGGGTGGAATCACCAAAGTCTGGCAATGGACTGAACACGGAGGATGGTGATGACTGGTGGCAGGCAGTGGAAGATGAAGATACAGAAGTGGACAAAAAAAGGGAGACCTAGATGCTGGTGGTGGAGTGCCCTTAGCTAGAACCTCCCAAGAAAGTCATAGAATCATAGAATAGTGAAGTTGGAAGAAGCCCATAAGACCACCAAGTCCAGCCCTCTGCTCAGTGCAGGAGTACAAATCAAAGGACATCTGTTAGGTGTCTCTAAATTTTTCTTGAATGCTTCCAGTGTTGGAGCACTTACCACTTTCCAAGATAATTGGTTCCATTGTTGTACTGCTCTAACAGGAAGTTTTTCCTGATATTCAACTGAAATCTGGCTTCCTTCCTGCACTCTGGGATGATCAAGATCTTGCCCCTCCTCTGTATGACAGCCTTTCAAGTATTTGAAAAGTGCTATCATATATCTCCTCTTAGTCTTATTTTCTCAAGACTAAACATGCCCAGTTCTTTCAGCCTTTCCTCTTAAGGCTTGCTGCCCTCCTCTAAATTTGTTCAGTTTGTTGGCATCCTTCTCGAAGTGCAGTGTCCAGTCCTTCAAGGCTCCTGCTTCACTTGGTCTCATGTCATTGGGCAGAGGAGATGCAACCAATCTCCCCTGCAATTCCCACACCGACAAAATTGCACTGCTGGAGAAAACAATGGCAGTACAAGTGCCTCATCTGTATGGAGGCAGAGCTGCTAATCACCTAAAGACTGGCACACTGATCTTTTGGCTGTAGGCAGGAACGTGAACAGAATTGAAACTTTGGGCAATACAGTGAACTTGGGGCACAAGGGGATTTATTTTGGTATGTGTTTTCATGGTGGTTACCTATTTCTTCAGCTGCATGGAGCACAATTTTTAAGCAACAGGCTTCTATGTACACTGGAGTGACCGAATGAAATGAGAGACAGAAAATAGCAATTGTATTAAATAACAATTTATTATTAAAATTGGTCATCAACTTGATGCTTACCAGCCCTCTGAAAGTTTATGACAAGTGTTAATAAT